ACTGATGAAAATTACATGACAAAAATTTATCAGACCCTTAGAAAACCTAGGAGTATAACTTCAACTTTTAACATTGAAGAAAAATGAATCAATATTTAAATTTCCAATCAGCCTAGGATATTTTAACTCCTAATAACTAATGAAATATTTAGATGAAAGGCAAAAGTATCCCGTAACTGGTATAATCTTAACGAGGGAGCCTGAATTTTATTTCAACTTGCTGTGAGAGATGTGTTGGCTTCTGTGAAAATGCAAGCTGTAATTTTATAAACTGCCAGAAAATCCATTTGTTAAAATTTGTTCTCATTAATGGGGTTTTTGGGATCACTGAGTAAAAGAAGAAAAAAGGAGTAATATTAGTGTTACAGGTTTGGAATGCAGGAGCTTTACAAAAATCAGAAATTGATTGATTACAAGAGGCCATGCTGATGCTGTTTGAATTTTAACATATCAATTTTCACTAGAAGAGACTTGAAAACAATTCTTCTCAAATCAATAAAAATTCTATATATTCAGCATGGCTTACCATGTTTTAATTCCACCAGAAAATATAAAAAGCTATGGGAACTCTTATGCATATAGCAGGTTATAGGCAGATTTGTAATAACCTAAATAAGAACAAACATGTACAGAGACTTCCTTATGTTAGTTGCTATTTCTCTTTGATTTGCAAATGAGTCTTTCATTTAAAGTAAATTATGAGACTCAAGCCTGTGCTGACTTAACTATTAACTAACTTTTACACCTGCCTTTCAGGGTTCAGACAATGACCCCTGATTAATCTGAGTCTGATACTATCCTTAACTTAACAGCAACTAGTTCTTAAAGTGGCATGATCTAATTATTTTCATATAACCTAGTATTATGATTGTCTAATGTCTTATTTGCTTTTCCTATAATAGTAAAGTGTTTGAGTGAATACCATTCAGGACAAAAACTCAGTGTCCTAAATACCTAATTCAGGACAAAAAGAAAGACACATATTTAACCATCAAATCTGAACTAGGACATCAGGCACAAAGAAAATAAAAGAAAATCTACAACACATGAGTGAGCAAAACAGGCTACCAATGCAAAAGAACCGTTAGACTGATGTCCAATGTCTCTCCCGAAACACTAAATACCAGAAGGCAAAAGAGGAACAATTTCCACTATGTTCTCAGGGGAAAAGTTTACAAATAATTAAAAACTCTGGCAAACTATCTTATTCAAAGACAACTGAGATATTTTAAAATATGTAGTCTCAAATAATATACTTCTCACTTGATATTTTTTGAAAAAATAACTTGAGGGGAGCCTGGGTGGCTCAGTCTGTTAAGCATCTGCCTTTGGCTTGGGTCATGATCCCAGGGTCCTGGGATCTAGCCCCGCATCAGGATCCCTGCTCAGCAGGGAGACTGCTTCTCCCTCTGCTGTTCCCTCCCCAACCCGCTTGTGCTCTCTGGCGCTCATGCTCTCTCTCTCTCTGTCAAATAAATAAATAATAGTCTTAAAAAAATAACTTGAAAATGTACTCTTAAATATGAGCAAAATTAAGAGCTCAAAATACAAAAAAAAAAAAATGAATAGTGATTAATAGCCAGTTAAGAAGGTTTGATTCTGTTTGATGGAGAAGGTCACGCCATGTGGGGATATTCTGTTTTATTTCTATTGAAGGCATCTCAAAAAACATATGGTATTATTTATGTCAGAAAGAAAAAAATACCAAACAAAAAAATGAAGCCTCATGTAATAAATGAAAAAAATAAGGAAACAAGTAAGTTAAAAAGAGAGTGGGAGAGGACACAGAACAAAGACAGGTGGTTTTGTTCTCAGGCTAACCTATACTTACTTAAAGAACACTGCATCACATTATAATGCTACAGGATCAAACTATCCTCTGTAACCATATATTTATGGAAAAGTTCATTCCCACTTGGAATCTCAAGAAACACAGCTTTCCCTGTTATAGAGGCTTGAGAAAGTCTCATTTCCTTCCCGTGCTGAACAACTGTAATTAGCATCTAGCACTCTCCTAGGCCCAAGCCATTCGTGGCAGTACTTGGAGCAAGAGGGATGTGGGGATGATAACACGTAAAGAGGTAAGCTGGAGAATGATGGTTAGGAGCCAGGTTAGGAAGTCACTCAAGAGACCTGGCCTCAGCCATTCTTGACTCTGGGTCCACTCCCTTCTTATCTTTTCTCAGGCCCCAGAAGTATCTTTCCCTTTTTGGGCTAGTAGAATACCACATTTGAACTTATAAATACCCTACTTTGTTACATTTTTAGACAGACCTTTTCATTTATCTCTAAATATTTTCTTTTTTTAAACCCTTTAAGGAAAACAAGGGCACACACACACAGAGGATGGAAATTAGGTAACATTATATTTCTGTGAAAAAATCAGACTTTTCCTGTCCTGGGGACCAGAAGACATGTGTAATGAACAGGCCTGTAATTCTATGTAGCGGTTATGGAGAAAGGGCCAAGGTTAACTGTCAGCAAGCTGAGGGACTATGTAGGAGTGACGGACAGTAGAATATCTTTAGTTTGTAGTAAAGAGACAGAAGGATTCAGAAAAATGTATCAAAAATGCAGCTTGGCTCAAGTGAGAACCTGGAAAACTAATGAGTGTTTGGGGTATACCTGTATAAACCAAGTATATTAAAACATATGGACTTTACAGATTGGAAATGTTATTAATATATTAGGAGTTGTCATTTAACAATCTAACTGAAAAAACATAAACAAAAGATCAACAACACCTAAACTCTTATGTATTAGATTTTGTTCCCGGTTCTTTGGAATCATCCTGAGGTCATCAGAGCACTGCTGTAAACATTAATGCCATTATTTCTCACGATTGCAAAGAGAAGTCAGTCCTACTATTTCCTCATTCAATTAACATGGAAACCTACAATCTGTCTGCGGGGTAAAAAAAAAAAAAAAATCTCTGGGGGTGCCTGGGTGGCTCAGTCGGTTAAGTTGGATCTTGATTTCAGCTCAGGTCTTGATCTCAAGATTGTGAGTGGAGCCCACTTAAATACAACTCTGCCAGGTTGTAACTTTCTGAGTTCTAGAATGTACAAAAAACCCCCAACAAAACCAGATGTGTAAACACAGGTGCTGCAAGAATACCTACAGAAATAAAATGAATTTCGAAAGTCTGTAAAATAATCCAGTGAGTATCTTTTTCAAATACATTAAGGGGTTCCAGTTCAAGATGGTGACATAGGAAGATCCTCAACTTACCTCCTCCCACAGACACGTTGAGTCTGCAGCTACCTATGGAACAATTTCCTCTTAAAAAACCTAAAGGCTGGCTGAATGCTGACTACACCTCAAGCAAACAAGAAGAAAACCACATAGAAGCACGTAGGAGAGCCTGAGGTACAACCTTGCCATGAACCCCCATTCCAGTGCAGTGACCTGCAACCAGGAGAAAAAGTAAAACCTGGACTTTCTCCCCAAAGAGCAAAGGGCTCAAACCACACATCAGGCACCTCAACTTCTAAGACCTACATCTGAGAGAAAATAAATTATTTTCCAAAATTGCTAGTCTTCATTTTTAATATTAAAGGACACAATTTACATAATGTTATATCTACTATTTTAGCATACTTACTAAAGTATAACTACAATACACACTATAGCCAAGTATTTTTCTTTTTTTCTTTTTTTAAAGATTTATTTGACAGAGAGAGAGAGACAGAGAGAGAGTGAGTACAAACAGGCAGAGCTGCAGGCAGAGGGAGAGGGAGAAGCAGACTTCCCACTGAGCAGGGAGCCCGATGCGGGGCTCAATGCCAGCACCCTGGGATCATGACCTGAGCCGAAGGCAGATGCTTAACCAACTGAGCCACTCAGGCGCCCCTAGCCAAGTATTTTTCATGATTATAATGGTGTTTAATTCCTCCAACACTACTCTTTTCCAGAGCCCCACATAATAAATTATCAAACATGTTGACTCAAGCATGTGAATCTATTACAAATAGAAAATGGAGTCAATCTGCCAGTGAGGAAAATATTATCAATAAGGTTCAAATATAGTTTAATATTGCCTTTATTTCCCTAAAATATATTACGAAATCTTTCTAACAGGAAATGATGAATTCTATGGAGTATTTGAAAGACTTAATGTACAGAAAGGATAAGAGAAACAAGATTATGCTTGGTGAAGAGTAAAATATATGCTAGCCTATATTGTCATATGAATCTTAAAAGTGGGAATTGGCAACTGGTACATATTTCAATTTATTATATTCAGAGATTAAAAGGGAAATTTAATTGTTTTCCTTCTACCTTATCTTGTATAATTATTTTTAACATAGTACACAGGTACTATAATTGTTAAATGCCTTTTGTTGTCTGGCAGTAATAGAAGAGGGATAAAAGATTTCACTTCTATAATAATAAAGCATAGTCATCCATAAAAGAAATGAAACAGTTGCTTTCTTTCACAAAATATTCACTCTAAATAATGATGCTAGTGTACAAAATAACACTCCTTTCAAAAAGAATGTAAATCAATTTGCATAAAGATTTATATTAATTTATTCAAAGTATGAAGTATTTTTAAATTAAAATCATTAACATTAATAAATAAGTGCCTGTAAAAATGATACAGTATTTTCCTATATCTTGGCAAAAATTAGTGTGTTCTCCTCATTAAGTAAGAAAATAGGGGCGCCTGGGTGGCTCAGATGGTTAAGCGTCTGCCTTCAGCTCAGATTATGATCCCAGGGTCCTGGGATCAAGCCCCGCCTAAGGCTCCCTGCTCAGCGGGAAGTCTCCTTCTCCCTCTGCCTCTACTGCTCCCCTGCGTGTACTCTCTCACTCTCTGTCAAATAAGTAAATAAAATCTTAAAAAAAAGAAAACATGCGGTTAATTTTCTGAAAGGGATATAACTTTTGGCAAAAGGGAGGTTACAAGCTTTTTCTACAATGGCATTCTGTGTCACTGTAACAAGTATCAATCTGTAGCTTATCCGTTTTAACAATGCAGAAATAGACTGCCTTACCGTTGGTGTTGTATCTACCCGGCGGTTACAAGGCTTTCTTTCCATGCTGTTAATCCCTATGAAAAGAAAAGATGGTGAGTATTTGCTTATTATACTATCCATTTTATTTTGAAAACATTTTTAAGTCAGTAAGAGGTGACTCCTACAGCTTACAAGAAAAAAAGCCTCACTTGAATGGCAGGACCCTTTAAAGTCATATCATGAATTCTTTGGTCAGAAACAGTTGGAGCGTTTAGCTAACTAAGAGACCCAACTCAAAGTGAGCTGAGCCAATTTTCCCATTCAAGTGGTGTTTAGCAATAGTGCAAGATGTGTCCATATCCTGCTCTTGGCTCAAATATTATACCATTATCTCCACTCTGCTGCATTTCTTCCATTCAAGTTTTATTTCTGACTTGAGGTCATCAAGTTTTCATAAAGAAATATCACAAAGGCTATAAAAGGAATCACTTCCTTATTTTCTCAAAAAGAATAAACAAATCTACTTGAATTTCTCTTTGATCATTTGACTTCCTACCATGCCATATTCTATTTATTCAATCACCGTGGAGTGTCTGGAAAAAAAAAAATTGCCCTGATTCTCTCTTTTAAAATAATATTGACTTCTAAACTTCAAAAAATCCTTTTATCATGTGTGGATTTATCTTTTTGTTCCCAGTGTCCTCTACTGCATTTCTTTGTAATAAATAGCTTTTAAGGATATAATATATTGCATCTCATCTGTAGAGATACTGGTTCAAAGTCTAGCTCAAGTTAAAAATGAACACAGGTGTGGGTCTCATTAACTTTATAGTTAGTCTCTGTCCATCAGCAAACCGATATGTGAGTTAGGACATTAGAACAGTTCGTTCAAATAATGGTACAGGCTGTCACATTCAGGTCTGGTTAGAAGTGAGAACTGCAATGTACTGTTAGCAATTAGCACAATTTCTAGTTGAAACAAACACTAGCTCTCTCAATTACAAGGCATTTAAAACTCATTTTCCTTCAAGTATGATAAGGGATTAAGTGAGAGCATCACAAAACAATCACTTTTTATCTGTACAAGAGTATATTAAAAATGAACAAAGTACCATAAAACATGATTTAAAAAAAAACATGGTTTTTGTTGCATTTAAAAAATTTTCTCAACATCTATTATTAGCCAATGAAGTAGAAATACTACCTATTCAATCAAATAATATTTACTGAGTGGCTATACTTGGCATCAGTGATAAAAGATAAATTATAAAGGATAAATTGTAATTTCTGACCTCAAGGCTAGAGTAAAACAGAGATGTCCTTTTTTGAAAAAAATATAACAGAGCAAATTAACAGTTTTGTCTTAAGAACAGTAAAATCTTTAAAGTGATCTTTATGGAAAGACACATTTTAATCATAGAATAACACTGGCCTTGAATAAAAAATTTTTAAAACCCCGAGGAAACATATTAGAAAATGTTCAGATAATGCTGATCCTTACTGTGAGAGTTTAGAAATACAGAGGTCTACAGAACAAATGGGGAAATCCCCACTTCCCTGGCGCCCACACTCCCACAGCCCTCTTTGGCCGAATCCACTGAGAAGTCCGGCATACAGTGGCTTTTAAATGAGAGTGCTCACACCACGAGACTCAGGAATTAGCAACATTTGACACGTGTGTTCTCACTATTGTAATCTGTTATAAAATTGACCTAGACTGATTACTAATTTTAAAATTCATATCCAATTAGAAAGTAACTTCAAAATGTTGAAAATAAAAAACTAAAAAAAAAAAAAAAAAACCCCAAATCTATACCCTCAGCTTATACAATTACAAAGAAAAAAACTACATATTTTACAGTTTTCAATTTCAGGATAAGAAGGTGATAAAAACTAAAATTTTGAAAAATGGATTACCCAAAGATAAAATCTGTTTTAAATTTAGATTGCCTATTGAAATAATACCATTTGGAAATACAATCAAACATGTTTGTTCAATCTTTTGGTAAAGAATATACAGAAAAAATAAGCTTAAGAAAAAATGTCCCCAAACAACTATTTTAAGTAAATTTTACCTAAAAAAATCTCTATTTATATGTTATTTCACTTTTATTAAGGTATAATGATAAGTGAAAGCTCATAATAAATAGATTGCTGTGCTAGTTATTTTTGTGTGTCAGCTTGGCTAGGCCACAGTACCCAGATAACTGGTCAAACATTCCAGATGTTTCTGTGAAAGTATTTTTTGGATAAGAAGAACACTTAAATAAGTAGACTTCAAGTAAAGTAGAGTGCTCTCCATAATGTGAGAGGGCTTCATCCTGGGGTGGAGCCTTAAGAAAAAGACTGACTTCCCCTAAAAGAGAAGGAATTTTGCCAAAAGACTGCTTTGGGACTTGAACTGTAACTCTTCCCTGGGTCTCCAGCCTGCCCACTAACCTTGCACGTTTTGTAACCTGGCCTGCCTCCAAAATCATGTAAACCAATTCCTCAAAATAAATCTATATACACATCCTACTGGTTCTGTTTCTCTGGAGAATGCTAACTAATATGCTAACTTTCTGGGAAACAAAATGAAAGTACAATTGTTTGTGTTTATCTAAATTAAATTTTTTTCACTAAATATATTAATTGTCCAGTAATACAGTTAAAAGGTCCAACTTATCATGGTATATTTTAAAATTAGAATACCTCAAATGAACTTAAGAATATTACATCTGTAGAGTAAATCAATCCACCAAATAAAAAATCAATCTGTCAATAAATATCTATCACTAGATTGTCCAGTCTGACAGTCTCTGCTTTTTAAATGTTTATTTACATTTAATGTGATTACTGATATGGCTGTGTTTAAGTCTACCATCTTACTATTTTGTTGCATCTATTTCTCTTTCTTCTTTCCTTCCTCCCTCTTTTTTCCATACTCTTTTGAAACAAATACTTCTGCTATTCCATTTGACATCCCCGATGGCTATATTGTTAGCTACCGATTTTTTTATTTTTTTAGTGGTGAGATATTGTATCAGACATCTCTTATTACAGTATACCCCAAATTAAGATTTTTCTACTTCACCAACAATACAAGCATCTCAAAACAGTATTCCATTTACCCTTCCACCCTTTATGCTACTGTTATATTTTACCTCTACGTGTTATAAATCGGACAACATACTGTCACAATACTTGATTTAAACAGTTACAAGTCTTTAAGAATGAAAAAGTTAGCTTTTTAATATTTACACATATCTTGATCCTTTCTAATGTTTTCATTCCTTCCTGCAGATCCAGGTTTTCATCTGAGATCAGTTCCTTTATTTATTTATTTATTTATTTATTTATTTATTTATTTATTGATCATTTCCATTTAGACTGAGGAACCTTTTGTATATTCTATGGGTGACTTTTTTTTTTTTTTCCTGAAAAATCTTTAGCAAGCATTCATATATGAAGGATATTTTTGCTGGGTATTGAAATCTAGGTTGATAGTCATTGTCCTGCAGAACTTCATTGATTTTATCCCATTATTTCTTACGAGGATGGAGCCATCATTTCTTCCTGTTATTCTCTGAATGTGACACATTTTTTCCTCTGGCTGCTTTTATGATTTTTTTAGTTTCATTTTCTTCCATTTAATTAAAATGTACCCAGGTGAGGTTTCATTTATATATAACCATCTTGGGATTTGCTAAGCTTTTTATATCTCCTACATTAATGTCTTTCATTAGAGGTGGAAAACTCTTGGCCCATTATTTCTTCACCCTATCTTCTCTATTTTCCTTCTGGAATTCCAATTACACTTGTTTAGATGATTTGATGTAGTCACACAAGTTTGACGCTCTGTTATTTCCCTCCCCAACCCTGTACTTCAATTTGGATAATTTTTATTGTTCTGTCTTTGAGTTCACTGACCCTTTCTTTCCATGTGTACTGCTAGCAGTTAGGCCCATTTAATGAATTTTTCATTTCATCTATTACACTCTTCAGCTATAGAATTTCATTTCTTTTTTTATGGTTTCCATTTCTCTGCTGAAATACTTCATCATACCCATGTTTCCTCAAGCTATTTAACATAGGTATAAGGTTAAAGTTCTTGTCTGCAAATTCCAACATTTTGATTATCTGTAGTTTCCTTCTACTGATTGTTCTTTTTCTTGATTATGAGCCACGTATTCCTGCTCATTCATATACTTCATATTTCTGACTGTAGCTTAGATCTGTTAGACATATAATTGGTAGAGAATGAAACAGAAACATGCTTCTCCAGAAAGGGCTCACTCCTTCTTCTTCCTGAAAGCTTTGGTGAGGGGTGGATCTTTGTGTTCAAATCTGGAGTTGGCCTGGATTGGGGCTGAGCTGTTGCTTTAATTTCAGTATATCTACCTATTAAATATCCAAAGAATAAGATCAGTTCCTCCCTCTAGAAATTTGGAATTTAAGCCTCTAGAGAATAAGGGAACACTTTCTCTCTGCCTTTCCCATTTCCTATGACACTGCTTATTGGGGAGGTGCTGGGTGGAGAGGACTGACGCATATTTGGGGTCTTTTGGATTCCAATCCATTATGCCAGCCCACATAGTCCTTAGAAATTCAGCTGATCTGTCTGTTTTAGCAAAGTCATTCTGCCTATAAAAGGCTTGCTACTCTGTTCTCCTGTGTCATTGTCTTAATATTCTCAGGTTTTATAAGTTTTTTTTTAAAAGATTATTTATTTATTTATTTGAGAGAGAGAATGAGATAGAGAGAGAGCATGAGAGGGGAGGGTCAGAGGGAGAAGCAGACTCCCTGCTGAGCAGGGAGCCTGATGTGGGACTCGATCCCGGGACTCCAGGATCATGACCTGAGCCGAACGCAGTCGCTTAACCAACTGAGCCACCCAGGCGCCCAATATTCTCAGGTTTTAAAGTGACTGCTGGTATCTACTTCCTTATGGAGTAGGTCCTCTTTCGAATTTAATTCATGTATACTTCTTTGTGTCCACATCCCTTTGAAGAATTTTTATTTAAATTCAGTCAGCCAACATATCATTAGTTTCAGATACAGTGTTCAATAATTCATCAGTTGCATATAACACCCAGTGCTCATCACATCATGTGCC